CAGCCTCCTCCCCGCCAGCCAAATGCTTCCTGACAGCCCGTTTAAAACTCAAAGCATCCGATTACTGCCACAGCCTGGCAGCTGCTCACAGACACCTCGAGAAACTCTTCCATAGCTTCCCCCCCGCCTCGAAACAAAACCCCTGCCCAGAGCATCACTCCGCACCCTTTCCAGACCCACCCACACTCGGGGGGCACCAGGGTCCTTCTTGAGCTGGTGCAGGTCCAGCTCCGCTCTCACGTGCATGGCCCCAGCTGAGGGGACCCCATGTTTCCATTACCAAAATGCCAGCACCCGCTTCCCACCTGACCCCAGACGTCGCCCGAGTCCATTAGCAAGTCCCCGGAGCGCACACCTCGCTGGCGTTTCACTTAACCCCGGCTTTTAGGGAGAGTTATGCCACCTTTCAATTTTTAACTTGCTCTAAACATTTTGGTCCTCTCCCCCGGGGACTCCCAGCGGATAAACTTTGCCGGCAGCACCGCCACCCCATAGCTATGGGGAAGGTGGAAACTGGGGGCAAAGGAAAGGAAAGCAGCTCCACCCAAGCTGCTCTCCCTTTGCACGCACGCCCCAGGACAAGGGGCACCCGGCGGCCCATGGAGATGCTCCATGGAGGAGGTCCTCAAGGAGGACGGGGGCACCCGCAGAGTGCAGAGACCGGGTTGTTGCAGGGCAGAACATCTTCCTCCTTTTCATCAGACACCGCTGTTGGGGTTGGGTCCCTCCGAACTTCACCAGCTTGCTCAGGTTTACCCCGATATTGCAGCACGTGGCCCCGGCACAGCCACTTCTCCCCCACAGCCTGGCACTGAATGGTGCCACATCACAGGGTGATGCCCTGGAGCAGGGACAGAAACATGGCATCACTTTCCAGTCCCCGAGGCGTCTCTTTTTATCACTGCCTTAAGCAACAAATGTACAAACCGGGACCTGCTGGGCATGAGGAATGTGACCTGAGCTGCTGATGCCACCACATGGCTGGGAAGATCAGCCCTGATCACCCTCGATCAGGGGAGCGGCTCTGGGTGGGTTTTACGTCCCCCTGGGTGCTGGAGGGGGTCCTGGCCAAGGATTTAAGGCTCAGTTCTTCACACACCTTTTATCTTGATTGAAAGGGTGTGGAAAACTAAGCAAACACCTGCAGACAAACATGTGACTGGCAAAAACTCATAGGGGAAAAAAAAAATGTATAAACCTGACCAGTTAAGCATCAGAAAAGGTACATGGGATGGCAGCAAAGCCCTGTACCCTGCCTCCAATGGGTAACCGAGAGAGAGCGTCCAAAGAGGGCGATGCGCAGTGGAAATAGCCCAGAATATGCTCCCTCCCTCCAAAAACTGTCAGATGAGGGAGCTCCCAAGTCACGGGGGATGCCTTGACACTGCTTAACGCATGCTGGCTCCCTCCCACGAATTTGCCTGCTCCCCTTCTGCACATATGGAAGCTCCATCGACACCATCCCCCTTCTGGAGCCCCACAGCATCTCCCCATCCCCAATTTCCCGGGACAGCCCATGCCAAGCAGCGGTGGGACCCATCCCCAAAAGCCCCCGGTTACACCTCCAGCCAGGCATAGGGACGCTGCCCACCCAGCCAGGTCGTCTTCAGCTCCTCCCCTCCCTCACCCCCCCAAGAAGAGGGGTTTCAGGCTGAAGGGACCCAAGCCACCGAGAGCTGGCCTCGGCTACCACCTAGCAGTGACCTGACAGCAGCAGGGACAGGCTGACAGCTCCTGCAGCCCGGGGAGGACTTGGGGGGCTCCTGGGCACACCCCACCCCAGGCCCCATTCTCACCTCCCTGAAACCAAAGGGGATGCGCGCAGCAGAAAGGGTGCTGTTGGGGACAAGCGCTCCATCGTCCAGACAGCTGCGAGCGAGCTCAGATCCATTTGCAGTCTCTCCTTACGCCAGACAACAAACACGTGCGATGCAACGCCCCGGCCCAAGGCCTGAAGCTCTGAACCTCCCCGTGGGGTTGTACGGCCCCTGCTCAAGCCGTAGCTCCTCACCATTCTGCTTCCATCTCCTTCATTAGCTTTCCAGACCATCATTTCCTAATGAGCCTCAGATTTTCTTTCTCTCTCTCAGCAATTTTTTTTTTTTTTTTTCCCCCCTTTCACATCCAAAACCACTCCTAAATGCTGAAATTAAAAGAAAACAGTAATGGAATCATAGAATGGTTTGGGTTGGAAGACAGCTTTAAAGATCATCTAGTCCAACCAATAAACTTATGATTTTATCCATTCCAGTATTAATGTTAAACCCTGTCTTGAGTTTTTCTTGGTGGTTTGCAGGGAAGCATACCTCTGGTGTGTTTGCAGGTGGGCAGAGAGCAGCCCTTGAAGCCCCCGAAGACCTGAGGGACAGTCTAGGCAGCAGCAAACCAGCTGAGTTCCAGCATTCATAACCAGGGCACTTCTATTTTCACAGCTTTTCTCTGCACTAATAAACTCAAGCCCACAAAGATTTCTTGCCACAGTCAAGGAGTTACATAGACATGGCCAATGTCAATCTTCAAGCTTTCTCTCACTGGATTCTTTATAGATGTCATTCGATATCTGTAATGTGGGATTCCTGACGCTTCGTATGTATAGCATCCTAATTCATCAGCAAATCGCAGCATCTTTTTCTTGGGGAAGGAGGTTTCTTTTTGCAAGTTACCAGCACTCCCACAGACTGAGGCCTGAGCTGGGATACAACAGCCTCTCCTAACAGCAAGGAGTGTGTAGAGCATCCGTGGCATTAAAACCTGAAAACATCTCCCCACACAATGTCAAAACCGCTCGTGTACCACGGGAGGGAGGGATAGGTAGCCAGTTTCCCTCTCCTGAACTTAATGGATATGTAACACTGTTACATTAAAGAACAATAAATCAGTACACCACCAGTACAACAAAATCAAACCATTTTCCTGAAAGTAAAAATAACATTTATCACACGTACTGGGCACGTCTGAGGAGATGTCAGACTCCAGGTTTTCTGAGGGATTAAACGTTCTGAACAAAGAAAATGACAGCACAGTCATACAGAGGGCCTTTGCTGCTCTAGGCAGCCTTCTTCAGCAGCTGCTCCAGCTTCTCCCCTCTTCTCACACCTTCTTTCTCAGGCTTGGGGCCCACTGGAAGTAGTCACTGGAAGAGGCTAAGCGTGCAGCTGCCAACACCGCAGATAGCGTGGTAGGAGGGACACACAGTTTCTGAGATGGCCTTTGGTCAGACAGCCCACTGGCACTGCACAGGCCAACTGCAAGACTCCCGGGAAGGTCTTTGTTCTTCATTTTCTCTTCATCTGCATAAGGAGGGAGACAAAAAAGAAAGATGGTATCTCTATTGGCAACTCTAAGAGCTCCAGTTTAGATTGAAATCCCTTTTGCTTGGACCTCAGCAGGTCACGGCAAGAGGACTTTCTACTGCACACCTACTTGATGAGCCCAACATGGTATAATCCAAGAGCCTCTCTCCCTCTCCTCCCAAGTGCTCACCCCTGTTTCCCCAGAGGTGGGAAACCAGATATGAATTGAGTAGCTCCTGTCTGGAGAACTGGGCTTCCGCTCCTGGCAGATGGCAAACAGCTCTGTTCCAAGGCACAAACAGGCACTGCCTTTGGCAAGTCAATCTACTTCATAAATTGGGCAGCTTTCGTACGGGTGTTGTAAATTCTTTCATCATTTGGAAGATGGAAGACGAACACCCACACAGGGACCTTACAAGGTTTAAAAAAAAAATAAAAATGCTTTTGTCCCTTATGGTTGGGAGATTGAGAGACTCTTGGTATGAAATGAACACAGGCTAACATATGGAGTGGAGAAACAAAGACTTCTGCATGAAAGCAGCAGAAAGTCTAGAAAAGATAACCAAAAAAAAAAAATCAGAGAGAGAAATAACTCTCAATTCATTTGTTCCCATTAAACATTTAGAAAACCATTTTGCTGCACAAAGGTCAAACCGATGCATTGCATCCAGTCATTTATTATTGTCGCATCTCCATCCCACAGAAATACCAGTATTTTCATCTGTTCTAGCAAAGAAGCAGCACCAGGCCTAGGATACCCAACAGTGACTGCAAGACTCATAGCACAGTAACAGACTGCTCAGCTTTCTGCTGTGATAAATTTTACTGACAAATCTATTCGTACTGTTACGGTTGTCCAGCATAAACGGTATTGCCATAAGTAGAACAGAGGGATGTACAGCTTCACGAAGTTGGGCCTTGTTGGAAAATCTTTCTATCTGATCAGGGTCATCTTGTCTCATTTCTGCTGGTTGCTTGGAGTAGATAAAGGAGGTGTAAAAGTCTTCCACTGACTTGAATAAGACAGCAGGCACTGAGGACTCTCCAAGAGAATGAGGTGTCTGCAAATGTATATAAAAAACTCAGGAGAGGCTGTGATTAGTGCACACTGGGTTCATTAGCTGCCCTGATCTTTATTATCTCGCAAAGTCCATAAAGAACTGGAATGTCAGCAACTGGATGATTTAAACAAAAACCACACAATCAAACAACCCCCAAAAACCTAGTTACTCACAACCTTGGCCAAAGAGCAGCTTTTCCTGCACAGCAAGCTGAAAAGAGTGACAGATTATTACAAGATACAAATCACCATGTCTTAGCAAAGAATTAACAGCTGGCTCATCTCTCAGCAGCCCCACGCAGAAAAAAAATGATGGCAATGACAGAGGGAGTTTCTGCAAGGGAGCAGGAACTGAGTCGGAGGAAGTCCCACTGCATTTTTGCTTAAGAATACAAATTAAACTTAAGTTTCAGCGATGATCACCCATGTTTCAGCCACTGACAGGGACTACAGCCAGTGTTTGTATTTGTTAACTCAGTATGGAGGAGAAAAATCGTGAAATGACAGACAGGCAGCAATTCACCTTGCCCAACCATAGCTGTTCAAAAATTAGGTGTTTGCTCTTTAGACTTCTTCTGTTGTCAGCAGAAGGCAGCAGAAGAAAGGCATCCATCTTCAGAAGGGGTGAGGTACTTCACCCATGGGTGGGAGTGTGTTCAGAGGATTAGCCCAGAACAAAACAATTGTTTTACACAGCAGATTTAAGCAATGTAAATTGTCCCCCACAAGGAGACCATGAGGCACTCCTGAAACAGCAAGGAGAGCTACATGGCTGGGCAGCAGAAATTCAGCGCTGACAGGATGCCAAGACAGAATAATTTTGAATAACAGGCATCACTGGAGTCCAGTTAACCAACTACTTAGCTTGATACCGCCAGCTCACTGAAAACCTTTGCCCAATATGCAGTAAAAAAATACAAGTGTTAGGACAAAAAAAAAAAAGAACAAGGTTAAAAGATGATTATTATCTCCTCTTGGCACCCATGCTATCCTTGTTGGGGGGCAGGCAGTGTCACTGCCACCCCAGGGCAAAGCAGAAACAGACAGGGTGCAAAAGTGGACACTAAAAACGTCTGTTAGCATCGGGAAAAGCTGGGATGGAAACAATTTTAAAAAGAGGCTGTTCAGTTTACAGAAGAGGTAAAGGAGACAGGATACCCCAAGAGAGCGCTGCGAGGGGCAGGAAGTAAGGCAGTATCTACGCTTCCTCCTGATGCACACAATTAAGAACACCACCATTGAAAAGGAAAACACAAGCAGTGAAAACTGAAAAGGAAGGAATACCGCTTGGTGATGCTGCAAGTGCCATAAAACCCTGAGGCCAAGAGATGAGCAGGAATCAGAGAAAGGAAATCCTCCTGTCTCTCCTCATAACTAGCTGACTTGTACATTTTTCCCCCCTAATGACTGTAGGCAGGATTATTTTTTCATCCCGTGGTCCTTCTCAATAGAAATTCTTACCACTTCTGCTAAAGACTGTAACAGAGACCACAGCCAGGGACAGAAAACGTGCCCAGGACTTCCCTGATCCAGTTAGGAGTTTCCTAGGCTTCGAAACTCACACAGTTTAAACACTTAAACGCTTGCAGGGCAGTGTTTAAGTCTGCTATCTACCCACCTGCCTCCATCTCATCTCTGTACTTTATCCCTGTACTTGCTATCACCTTTCCCCTTTTCTCACTCTCTCAAGGTCCCTTTTCCCAGCTTGCTTTCTCTCCATCCCTTTTCAGGTAACATCTCTGAGAGACACTGATTCTTCCAGCTCTGCTCTAGACTATCTGAGAACCAACTTTCTCCTCATCCTTCTAGAACGAGTTTTGTCTCAGCCACTATCACCCTCTAGATGTGTAAGGAGCTGTGGTTATCCAAAACTTCGTAGGCACACTCCCATTTACAGCTCTGCAATGCCTTCTGTGGCTCAACAAATCCTGAGTGATACTGGCTCCCCGCTGAACCCAGAGCAGAGTGTTTGCACGTTTGCACCACACAGATGGCCCTGTTAGACGCATCATTAAACACTATTTAAGAAGCACACAACGCCTCAAAGCACAGTCCAAAATGGAACGCTCCCAAACCTGCCCTCCTAACTTGGGAAGAGGCCAGTCGCTTAAAAAAAAAACCACCAAAACATGTCAAAGCAACCAAAGGGTTATTCAAATAATGTAAAAACAAGAATAACACCTCTCAACAGCAATAGCTGAGAAAAACACCCTTACCTTAACCACTGCCAGAAGCTCTGTAGGAGTTTCTTTTCTATTCTCCTGTGCAAGTTTGGGGTCTTGGTTTGTTGCTCTTGGCACACTCACTTCATCCAAAAGCGGCTGCACATCATCCCGTGTCTCCTTCTTACCAGACAGGTGCCACTGCTAAGGAAATGGACAAAGCAAGAGGAGGTACACCTAGTGTGGGTAGAAGGCGGCAGGAAGCACTGGGGCAAATTTACGGAGCAATCAGACGATAACCCTCAGAGATTAACTGAGAGAGAAATGCAAAGGAGCTTTCCTGCTCCGCTCAGAAGTTTTAACACTTCTGTCTGGAGAAGTCTGGGCTACTTGGAAAGGACAGAAAGAACATGGGAGGACAGGAAATGATGTGAGCAAGAAACTAACTGTCACTTTAACTTGTCTCCTCCATGGTAAAACTTATCACTTGGAAAGTACAGTTTTAGTCAAGCAATGTTTTCTGGTTATTGCTTGCTGCCTTCTGAGAAATTCTACCATGGTGAAGTGTCCTAATGTTGCAGAGCTGACACAACACACGTGTCCAGCCATTTTGCACTTAAGGGTGGGGGGAATTGTTAATCCTGACGAGGCAAATCTAAGATCAGACAATGCATAGGGAGTTCCCCACTGCTCAAGAGGAGTTACCAGAAAATGCTAGCTAGGCAGTAACAAGTGTCATATGAGACACATGTCCAAGACACATTTCCAGTTCAAAACATCTTGAGCCATTTTATAACTGTCATTGATTATCATCTTAGTGATGCACCAAGGAAGAAAAGGAAACATTTTGGACAGCTAAATGGAACAGCAGAGAAGGAAATTTTAAAGTCTTACACAAAGAGAGACCTAGAGGACTGCAATTTCTGGAAAAGGATTCCAATAAGACCCTTGAAATCAGACATGACAAAACCTGGATGCATTTACATTCCTCTAGTCTCCAAATCACCAGCTATGTCTAACATTCACACAAAAGGATCTTGCTACAGTTAACTAGTTAGGGTATTCTCAATTGTTTTCCATTAAAAAAAAAAAAAAATCACAATAAACTCAGGTTTGCAGTCTGTCACAATTTCTTCCAAGTACATACATTAAGATGCTGGTTTGTGTCCTTCAGTTCAGATGGTATATTGCCTGTGCAAGGCCATTAATATCCAAGATATACAGCTTATATAGATTTTCTGTAGCACAGAAATGCCGTTGGCTAAAACAAAACCTAGGTAGAATAACTGCTTTACAAGTTACCAACATTACGCTAGCTTTTAATCTTATCTCAGAGAAATGTCAGAAAAACAGCCCAGGAGCAGGCCCACAGCTGAACATGTCAACAGCTGACATTTACTTGAAAGGTGCTTCAGCCCCTGTAGTAAAATGTGTCATGAAAACACTGCAATTTAAATAACACAGAAAAGTAGAGAGAGTCACCTGTAGACAAGTGTTCCTGGTGTTTCTAACGATAATACATTAGATTGCACTCGAGACCTGGGTTTTACTCCCTGCTTAACCCCTCTGCTCATCAGTTTTTCCATCTGTTAAATGCCAAAGGGCTCCTCTTTTTAACATGCTCTGAAATCAAAGGTGTAAAGCAGTATCCCGATCTGGGTATCATTCACCTTTAGAGCGATCTTTTTAATAAAACTGTAGTCATATACAACCTTAACCCCTGCAACAACCAGGATTGCAAATCGCCTTCCTTTCAGATAAGTTTAAAAAAGCAAGACCCTTAATGCAAATAATACACCACTAGTTCTTCTGGTCTTTTCCCACATTTAAATGATACCCCAAGTTATTACACATCCTTTGCCAAATCCCAGAGATGCGAGAGGAAAACATGACACTTCTTGGCTCCCAGGGGTGCAAAACATGAAAGTGCTAAGTCAAACTGATCTCGAGAATCTGGTACCGGTCTGAGTTCTGAGAGTCCATTCTCTCTCTAACTGAAAAACTATGGTGCGTATGGGAGGTTAGAGAAATCACTGAGCACACAGACTCCCTGAAGTCTACTAAGGGATCAGAGGACAAGCAGCTAGAGATGTATTTATGGTCCATATGTAATTATTTTTATATTATGTTTTTTCTTGCTCTTTATAAAAGCAAAAAAACCAACTCTACAAAAACCAGCATGGGACTAAAGATATGTCTACTGACCCCTGGAGCTGATTTCACCGAATGATAGCTACACCACAGCCAGACTCCCACCTGGTCGCACAGTTCATCTCCATCCAACTTTGAGGTTGGTATTTCACTATCTGCATGTAGAGATTCCT